TGAGATTTGCAGTCAGATATTTTGTGATACCTGTGATTTTTGTACCTGTATAATAAAGTGCATTTTATTTCAGTTGGCTGTGCACCTCATTCATTATTATTGTATCTCTTATCATGCCAGATTTTTTAATATTTTGATTGCCACTCATTTTTGTGCTCTCATGTCTCCCTTCCCACTTCCTCAAATATGCAAAACTGTGAGCAACATATTGCCGTGAGTTCAGAGCTCCCTCTGTCATCGCAATTCCATTGCTTCGAGAATGCAACCAGGACATTGGACCTACAAATCTTGCATTCAGAGTGTGTTTGATGAGAGGGCACCATTTAGAGTCCCCCTGCATTAATGCACAAGTTTAGAATGTTTACCATCAAATGTTTCTTTGCCTTGCAAGTTGAAGAAAAGGGCTGGAACAAAGGGCATAGTAAGATGTGCTTGGTGGGCTAAAATTTATTTGCAGTATAAAACAACATTTTCACAGTATACATAACATTGGGATATATAATCACAGGCTTGATTTAAATTTTTTGAATAAGCTTTTACAATGATTTTTTTTATAAACTTTAAAAAAAAATCTACATATTAGGATTACAAAACATGTTTAATCGATATATCAAAATATTAAATAATTTTAAAAGTATATTCAAAAATGATAACTTATTTGAAATGTTCATCCAAAAATATTAAAGGATCTCTATAGGGTCAGGAACACAAACATGTATTCCTGACCCTATAGTGTTAACACCACCATCTAGCCCCCCTTGGCCCTTCATGCCTCCATAAATATAGTAAAAAATCTTACTGTATTCAAGCCTGAAGTTGTAACTCTGCATGCTGTTAGACTCAGAAAAACAAACAGTCTGCTGACATCATCAGAAGTGGTGGCCTGATCCAATCACAGTGCTTCCCCATAGGGTTAGCTGAGACAGACAAATAGGCAGGTCAGGGGCAGAGCCAGCATGATTCAAACACTGCCCTGGCCAGTTAGCATCTCCTCACAGAGATGAATTGAATCAATGAATCTCTGAGGAAAGGTCAGTGTCTGCATGCAGAGGGAGGAGATACTGAATGTTTGGATGCATTTTAGGCAGCCATGACCCAGGAAGGATCTCTAACAGCTATCTGAGGAGTGACCAGTGAAGTTATCACTAGGCTGTAATGTAAACACTGCATTTTCTCTGAAAAGATGGTGTTTGCAGCAAAAAGCCTGAAGGTAATGATTCTACTCACCAGAACAGATTCAATAAGCTGTAGTTGTTTTGGTGACTATAGTGTCCCTTTAAATTAAGGCCCATATTATAACACATTCCATTATTATTGCAGATGTTGTGTATATATATATATATATATATATATATATATATATATATAATATTGTATTCAAATAATAAAATTAAGCATTGTTTAAAGGATGGTTATAAATTGGACTTAAAGCGCAAGACAAGGGGGGGTGGGGTCTGACTGTCATGGAGGAGAGTCGCATGTTAAGTGAACTCCTTTAGCAATTTCCCCTACAATGTATGTACAAATGCAATCTATGACAAAAAATACAAATTCTGTGATGCGGCAACCCGCTGACCTACTTGACACATTTGGTGACAGTCGACGAAATGCAGAAAGTCTCCCTTCCGGTGTCAGCCGCAGGTTGGACAAGGGGGCGACCTCAAATGGCCACGCCATCTGACTCAGCTGGACCTTTGAACAGTTTGTTGCGAACCACATCCGAGAAATCCCCAACTGACTACAAATTACAATAACTCGGCGTGGCCTCCCTGTCCCGGAAAGAGATAACAAAACTTTCCCTTAAACCCGTGGTCAACAACTCCGCGTCTTCCCTATTACCATAAAGACTTAGCCATGGCAGCATCGCAGCGAGTCTCACTGGGGTTCTTCTCCAGGGTAGTGGGCACTGCCACCAGCAGGGCCATGCTGCTGTCCTGCCCCCTTCTTCCTTTCCGAAAACACTGGTGGAGTCCGTGCCAACCCCCGCAACCGGAGCACTCATGCTTGTATTTGCAACTCACCCCCCATTCTCACTGGCCTTAGTTGAAGAGCCAGCAAAAACTCTTCCTGTGGAAAGCCGATGCAGGGGACTGGCCCCCTGTGCTGGCCACTTTCTAAAAGGGCCATGCTTTTTGAGCCATCATGAGCTTCATCCATAACTGCAGGTCCATTTTGTCCCACCGCATACCAGGATTGGCCACGAGTCGCTGGCGGAATTGTTCTTCGTATTTCTACCAGGCCATGCCCCCATACGTCCTATACGCCTCCCAGACCTCATCCAGGTAGCAAAACAAAGAAGAGCTAATTCCCGGGGACCTTTCACCAATAACACTGGCAAGGATACAAAACGCGCTCAGCCAATTCCCAAAGGACTTTGGTATCTTGCGATACTGTCTTTTCTTCTCCTCCTTTTCATCCTCCACGAACTCATCCTTCCATATGCGCTCCTTTACGTCCTGCTTCAGATGTAAGCCCAGGGTGCCCGCAAACCAGATGTAGGTATTCTGCCAAGCCGCATCAGGAATGCCGCCAGCCAGCTCCGCCTGGTCACTTACCGTGTTGACCAGCGCTGCCACCCCATCCCCTTCAGCCACTGACCCCACCGACCCCACCAATCCCAGAGCCCCCGTCTCAGCACCCCTCGCAACCATCCCCATTGTACCTGGAGCCCCAGACGGGCACCCACTCTCGATATCCCTTCCACCCCCCAGACCTGTCCCGCATCTGAGTGAGGAGTACACTTTAGGCCCCAAGAGTCAATAATGTGTTGTGAAGAGGATAGTAAGCCCAGTGAACGTGCATTGGTAGACTCACCGGCCAAGCCCTCCACCTGTGAAGGTCCATGGGCTGCACCTTGAGGACCCAGGGAATCAGACAGGGAGATGACCAGACTCTTCACTCCAAACTGGGGAACCTGCCGCTGCCGGACGCCTTCGTGGGTGGACTCACTGGAGGATCTGGAACAAGAAGGAGAATTCCTGGGCAGATTGCACTGTTCCATACCAACCCTCCCCGCACCACCCAGGGATCGCCGGAATGGACCCCTGGCATCCTGCCCACAGTGGCGGCCACCCAGGGACCTGGAACCCCTGCTAGCCCTCCCCCTGGGGCTACGACTACGGCTGGGCCCATGACGAGGCCTATGCTGCGCACTCCGCCGGGGAGTAACCGAGCACCCCCCAAAGGAGCTACTAGTCTCCAATGCCAGCCCAGGGGCGTAGCCTCCCCTTGAATGCACTGCTTCCCAACTCTGATGAGCCGCCATCCCCACCTGCCAAAAGACTCCCTCCCTGTCCCCATTCAAGTCTAGGGGATCTATCACTTTGGGACCTCGCTCAGTCGAGTGTGACCATTGATGGCCCCAGGGCATGATAGGTGGCCTACCTGCTCCCTTGCCTCACACTCTGCACCACCTGAAGCACTGGCAACCTGCGCCCGGAGAAGCCGTTGCACCCGGCGCCGCGCCCGCCCCACGGCACCAACACCAATGTCCTGTGGATTGGAGACCAGAGATGCTGGCTTGGTGGGGACATTCTTTTTAACCAGGGCAGCCCCTCCCACACCAGAGAAATTTTCCATATCAGGAGACCCCTCAGGGGGCTACGCCACTTGACTGCGCTCCCTCATGGCTGCGCCCCCCCTTCTCGAGAGGCCTGCTGTGCTCCCCATTGTGGACATCCCCAAGGACCCCCTGTCGCTGGCTGACAGGTGCCCCTGCCCGGGGTTAGTGACCCCCACGAATAAGAGGGACCCACTGCCTGTGTCAACCCTGGGGAAACCGACTGCATCATGGGTAAAGCACTAGCAGGCCAGCTCCCACCCCCAACAGTGCCGCCAGTAGTGCAGGGGCCTGCTGCGAACCCACCAGGTTTGAGTCAGAAGGATCTAATTTCTAAATTCTTCAGAAAGGAGAGAAACAGAAAAAACCCCACCATGCACTGCTATATGAGAGGGATACTCCCACTAGAATACCAGTTAAGTGGATTATCCCTCCGTGCAGCAGAACTGACATTTTACATAAAAATACATAACTTCCATATTATTCACGCTATTTTACCGAATGACCGTTCGGCAGATAGCTGAGGTCTGAGCACACCTTTCGTGAAAGTACAGCTCAAATCCCAGCATAAATAACCGAACGCAGCAAGAAAATACATAGTACTTTATATTCACCTTAAAATATCGAATGCATATAGGGGAACAAACTACCAAAGGACCGGTGCTCCCGAATGGCCTGGAAGTCCAGCGGTATTCATGCCGTCGAGTAGCCGATTTTAGTTCCAGGCGCTCGACGACCAAATACCACTGGGCTAACAAAGGATCCAAGATGGCCGACCGCCGCGGCCACCCTGAAACCCAATAATCACCGAAGGAAACATTGTTGCAATCTTTAATGGGAGACACACGACCTCCTGTTTGTGGTCTCCCATTCGATAGTTAGTTGAAATACACTGTTCGTGAAACTATTGTATGAATGCTGGTGGCTTTCTCGCCGCCAGCATATGAATGCTCTCGTTCACACAATATACACATACAGTTATAAACTTGGTTCTAACAGTCTTTAAAGGGATAGTATCCCACACATAAAAATACATGCTGAAGTGGCTGGTTTTGCCACATAAACCATTAACTCTTTGTGAGAGTATAGAAGCAATAGCATCATCACATGCATCCACTTCTATGCTGAAACCTAAAGTGGGATCAGGAATTAGCAATACCGTTATTGCAATACCATTAACTTTTTGTGAGAATATAGAAGCAATAGCATTATCACATGCATCCACTTCTATGCTGAAACCTAAAGTGGGATGAGGAATTAGCAATACTGAGGGCTTCTGGTCCCCCACCAGGGCCATCCAGACCTGGGATGCTCCTTCCAGCTGCAAGGCAGAACACCTCAAGAGGCCCCTCCTCCACCTGGGGGCCCCGTTGCTGCAGGCACTCCCTGGCCCTGCCCCCTGCCCGTGGGAGCCTGCTCTCCAAGCGTGGAATCCTCAGGACCGTGTGATGCACTGCCTTAGGGTGATGTTGCCCGTGGTCCCTGGGCCCTCCGCCCATGGGGGGTAGAGCTACCGATACCTGCCTCATGCGTAGGTGGGATACATCGCAGCTGGCTCCTGCCAGGCCCGCAGGTCCCGTGGGGGTCTCCTCTGCTTCCATCCCTGGGCTGTGGCCTCCGCAGCTGCTCCGGGCGCCCCCCTCCGCAGCCATCTTGCTCCGCCGCCATCACTGCTGTCAGCTGCTCCTGCAGCCATGCTGTCCCCTTGCTTCTAGCAGCCTCCTGAATGCTGCGAAGGAAGCTCCTCCACCGACCATTCAACTATTCTGAAATACATATTGGATATAATTTCTAATTAGTGGGGTAATAGCTGCTTGATCCAAGGAGACATCTGACTGCTCTTTTGGGGTCAAAAATGAATTTTTTCCTAGTTTGTTGCAAAATTGGAAGCGCTTCAGACTAGGTTTTTTTGCCTTCTTTTGGATCAACAGCAAAAACATGTGAGGAAGGCTGAACTTGATGGACACAAGTCTCTTTTCAGCTATGTAACTATGTAACTATGTAACAAAGAAAAACTTCCAGGCCCAATCAGTGCACAACAAGCGTGCACCAACTCTGCAAGGTAAGAAATTAGAGTGAGGGATCACAAAATGGCTGACCCTTTATATCAACCAACCCTCAAACACTGATCCAACAATCCCCACTACTGCTCCCACCCCCTAGCCCGCCTCCTAGGCCCTGTTAGGGCTCTATTCCCTAAGCTGTGCTTTCTCCACGGGCTTCAAATATAAAATAGGCACTTTATGAAATTACTGTTTGCAATCTGTAATAAATGTGCTGATGTCCACATCATTTGGGTAATTAAGTTGCTGGTTGTTTCCATGTGTTCTGTCTTTTGTCTGTCAAATAAAACTTTTCATGTTACCATTCACGTATGGGTAATGTGTAAGTCTAACAGTAAATCGATTGAAGAATACTAGGGATGTGCGCAGGACCGGTGTATTCACAAGGTGGCTTAGGGTCCATTTGCCTGGTATTAGGGGAGTGCTCAGCGCTCCCCTGATACTAGTCACTAACTATAGTCTGGCTGAGGCTGGGGGAGAAAGAGATAAGGTGCTGGGGGAAAGAGACACACAGAGGGTCTGGGAAGGGAAGGAAGAGACACACAGAAGGGTCTGAGTAGAGAAAAAGACACACAGAGGGACGGGGCCAAAGAGACCCAGAGGGGCTGGGGAAGAGACAAACAGAGGCTGAGGGGGAGACACCCAAAGGGTTTAAGGGGGCAAAGAAACACAGAGGGACTGTGGGGAGAAAGAGACAAACAGGGGATGGGGAAGGGGAAGGGGCAAAAGAGATACACAAAGAGGCTGGAATAGGGGAAGAGACACAAAAAGGCTTTACATGTGTAGCCAAAAATCCTTGCACCAGCCCTGGTCTTGTGTAAGGTCAAAACAATAGAGACATTAAAGAATGCTTGGGATATGTATAAGGCTAATGCTTTCAATGAACGGGAGAGTGCTTGAGATGTGTAAAGTTAGCACAGTAAAGGAATTTCACCCCTTAAGGACACATGACATGTCTGACGTGTCATGATTCCATTTTATTCCAGAAGCTTGGTCCTTAAGGGGTTAATGATGCTTGAGATGAGTATAAGGTTAAAACCATAAATAAAATAGTCTTGAGCTTTATCTATAGGTAAAACAGATTTAGGATTAAAGAATACTTGAGTTGTTTATAAGGCTAACACAGAAAGTGAACTAAATAATGCTTGGGAAATGTACAAGGCTAACACAGTAACATAACTGAATAATGCTTGGATAGTGTGCTGTCTAACACAGTGAATGAAGTGAAGAATGTGAATAAAGCATACACAGTAAAGGTTGGGACAATTAGCTTTTATCTACTGTCACACTATGTGCTTCTGATGGTTAATTTCTTTCAGCAGCAAAATGTATCAGCAACCTTGTAAACATCAATATTATATTCGCATTGAATTTCTAAATAGTCATTTCCTGTTGGCATCAGAGTTGATAGTTCACCTTGTGAATACATGGTGAGTTTCTGTTAATGCTGTCTTCAGATGTGCCAAAGGGTCAAGCATTGGATGCTGGCTGGAATTCTGATGTCCAGCAAACCATTGCTCCTGTGGCATTTAAATAACAATTATCCATGACTTTACGGTAGATCTAGGATGGAGACTGAGAAATGGGTGACCGTTGAGCAGCTGAAATTCCGATTTCCAAGCTACCATGCACCAGAATCTTGGAGAAACTGACAAACACATGAACATACTTTGTTTTTTTTCTTAATTTGGAGTGCCCTTCATTTCACCCCAAAAAAAGAGGTGGGTTAGAGAAGAGGATTTTTTTTTGGGTGGGGGCAAATAAACCTTAGTTTGCAATATTGGACAAGAGATCTTCTGTATGATCATGTGGGCTGTACTTCTGTCCAATCTCGAGATGGAAAGCAAAATATGATTGATGGTTAGGGAAATGCCACTACATGTGATTGTATTCCCAAATCAAGCGGTAACTGACCAATAGAGAAAAAAAAAAGAGTAGTAAAACAATCAATATTTCCAAGGATGTTTTTTTCAGAAACATTGACAGCTACTGAGAGAGACAAACAGGCAGTGTTTTATCCTTACTGTGCCTGTCTGGAAGTGGGCGAGACCATGGGTCATTGATTTTAGTGTGAGACAAGGTTTAGTTTGCTGCTGTAACTAGCTAGCTAGCTAATGCCAGGGACACATGATTGAGTGGGATATAGTAGATTATTATTTTGTCATTAATCCAAGTGTGAGACTAAGTTACCAAAGAAAAGTATATCTTGCCTAACTACTCCCATATTGGCACTCACACAAACTTTGAGTGGTATTGATAGCCTACTTCATACTGTTTATGACGTTGTAAGGAGTGTCTTGCTCAGTAAAAATAGATGCCTAGTTACTCCCTCATTGGCACAAACAAACTTAGAAATAGCCTGCTTCTGTCGTTATAGTGTGACACTGTTATGTATGGTAAGTGCAGGGTCACACTGCTAGCCAATTTGAGACTAATCTCACTATGGGCCAGGGGTACATAGTTGGAAAAATAACAAAAGAAATACTAACATTTTAGGAGTGACCACCCACTTTAAATAGGAGTAAAGATTAGACATATGGAAATGTATAATAAAAAAACAAACAAAAGATTGATCCATGGATACTACTAATAAAACATTATAAAGGCAAAGTCCAGAAAAAGAGCAAAAGAGCAATCGGACACTCAACGATGCGAGCACTGCTGGGACTTCCACCCTCAGTTATGTTCATGGGGATTCCGACTAACAGAGTGGCATTTGGGAGGAGCAAACTCCCAAACAAGATACACCGAAAGAATGTCTGCACGAACAGTTCTTGCCTTGTCTTTAGCCTACTCCAGAAAGAGACTGACTGCCTAATTTCATGGAACCTTTTTGGGCAGACACTTCATGTGCGGTTGGTCTAAACTATACCCTGGTGGTGTTTCGGCTGCATTCGTGGGATATGAATGCTTTTCGGATATATAGGGCACTCAGACCCAGGCTATCTGGGGATATAGGAATTAAGGGGATATCTTGTGGGGAACTGTATGTTTTGGGGTGATTATTATTATACATGTCCTGGACCTGAGAGTTAATGTAATTATGTGGTGTATTTTGTCTCAGTCTCCTCTCAAGTCCAGTGGGGAATGCCCCTGGAATATGTATTTAGAAACCCCTTGCATGGGGATTCTCATAAAAGGCTGTGTGTGGCTCCATTAAAATCAGTTATACCCCCAGAGCTGAGTGTCGTCCAGTTGCTAGGGAGGAGGTGGGAGATTCCTGGAGTATTTTACTGTGTTTGGCTGTTTCTCTTGGAATATTCTACCTGTTCCTGAGTACAAGTTGGAGAAACCAGCAGAGGAGAGTCCCTGCTAGGACTAGGGCTCCGCTAAACACAAAAACACCAAAACACACTCAACACAATAAAGCACCCCCACATGTCCTATATCCCCGGGTAGCTATGATCTGAGCGCCCAAAGTTGTCCAAATAGCACTCAGATCTATGCAGTGACGTTTAATCGCCGCCAGGGTAAATTTCTGACCAGCCACACACGTGGTCCATGCCCAAAATAGTTCCAGAGTGTTTGGTGCTTTTGCCGGTCAACTGTCATGGGCTCCTGTGAACGAACTAAAGGGGGCTCATCCTGGCTTTCAGGGAGCGATTGTTCCACACGGTCCCTTCTCTCCAAAAAGCACTAACCTGGCAGGTTGGCAAGGGGGTCATTACACCAAGTCAAGATGACCAGGAACCACAAAGTCACATAGCTGAAAGGGGTTCAATAGTGGCCGCAGCTAAGTACAGGCGAAGTCTAATCGCAGGTTTATACATTTGAAGGGAGTGAGCATTTGCGTGAATTCGGGAGAGGATACGGTCCGTAATCTTTGGGCAGGAGGCTAGCTAGCATACTCTTCCAAGAGTTTGTGGCATAGGCATGTTTGCCAGAAGCTCTTGTTCTATTTATGAGTGATATAGATAGATAGATAGATAGATAGATAGATAGATAGATAGATAGATAGAACAAAATTATAAAAGCAACACTTTTGTTTCTGCCCCTATATTTCATGAGCTGAACTCAAGGATCTAAGACTTTTTCTATGTACACAAAAGGCCTGTTTCTCTCAAATATTGTTCACAAATCTGTCTAAATCTGTGTTAATGAGCACTTCTCATTCCGAGATAATCCATCCACCTCACAGGTGTGGCATATCAAGATGCTGATTAGACAGAATGATTATTGCACAGGTGTGCCTTAGGCTGGCCACAATAAAAGGCCACTCTAAAATGTGCAGTTTTACTGTATTGGGGGGATCGAGGTGGTCCAAAAACCAGTCAGTATCTGGTGGGACCACCATTTGCCTCACGCAGTGCAACACATCTATTTTGCATAGAGTTGATCTGGTTGTTGTTTGTGGCCTGTGGAATGTTTGTCCACTCCTCTTCAATGGCTGTGCAAAGTTGCTCGATATAGTCAGGACCTGGAACACGCTGCAGATGAGCTTTCCTGAGATAGTTTCTGACAGTTTGTGCAGAAATTCTTTAATTATGCAAACCGATTGTTGCAGCAGCTGTCCGGGTGGTTGGTCTCAGACGATCTTGGAGGTGAAGATGCTGGATGTGGATGCCCTGGGCTGGTGTGGTTTTATGTGGTCTAT